TGGAAGGGGGCACCGCACACGGCTAAGAATATGATCACGTGGATCAACTTGTGTCTATGGGGTGCCCCCTGCCCCCGTATATAAAGGAGCAAGGGGGAGGCCGGCCGGCCCTTGGGACGCACCAAGGAGGAGTAGGATTCCTACTCCTAGTTGGAGTAGGTTTCCACCTTTCCTAGTCCAACTAGGAGAAGGGGGGAAAGGGAGGAAGAGGGGAAGGAAGGGAGAGAGGGGCCGCGCCCCAAACCCCTTGTCCAATTCGGACTGGGCTTGGGAGGGGCGCGCGCCACCTCCTGGTCCTTCCTACTAAGGCCCATTAAGGCCCATTGCTTCTTCCTCGTATTCCCGTAACTCCCCGGGACCTCCGAAAATACCCGAATCACTCGGAACCTTTCCGATGTCCGAATATAGTCGTCCAATATATTGATCTTTACGTCTCGACCATTTCGAGACTCCTCGTCATGTCCCCGATCTCATCCGGGACTCCGAACTCCTTCGGTACATCAAAACTCATAAACTCATAATATAACTGTCATCGAAACCTTAAGCGTGCGGACCCTACGGGTTCGAGAACAATGTAGACATGACCGAGACACATCTCCGGTCAATAACCAATAGCGGAACCTGGATGCTCATATTGGCTCCTACATATTCTATGAAGATCTTTATCGGTCAGACCGCATAACAACATACGTTGTTCCCTTTGTCATCAGTATGTTACTTGCCCGAGATTTGATTGTCGGTATCTCAATACCTAGTTCAATCTCGTTACCGGCAAGTCTCTTTACTCGTTCCGTAATACATCATCTCGCAACTAACTCATTAGTTGTAATGCTTGCAAGGCTTAAGTGATGTGCATTACCGAGAGGGCCCAGAGATACCTCTCCGACAATCGGAGTGACAAATCCTAATATCGAAATACGTCAACCCAACATGTACCTTTGGACACACCTGTAGAGCTCCTTTATAATCACCCAGTTACGTTGTGACGTTTGGTAGCACACAAAGTGTTCCTCTGGCAAACGGGAGTTGCATGCATAATCTCATAGTCATAGGAACATGTATAAGTCATGAAGAAAGCAATAGCAACATACTAAACGATCGGGTGCTAAGCTAATGGAATGGGTCATGTCAATCAGATCATTCACCTAATGATGTGATCCCGTTAATCAAATAACAACTCTTTGTCCATGGTTAGGAAACATAATCATCTTTGATTAACGAGCTAGTCAAGTAGAGGCATACTAGTGACACTCTGTTTGTCTATGTATTCACACATGTATTATGTTTTCGGTTAATACAATTCTAGCATGAATAATAAACATTTATCATGAAATAAGGAAATAAATAATAACTTTATTATTGCCTCTAGGGCATATTTTCTTCACCGCCTTCCTCGGCTACACTTTGTATCCCCCCATTTTTGACAACATAAGGTTCCCTTGCATTACTCAATCCTACTCAATCCACTCAAGCACATCATACATCATCTGTACCAATCAGCCTACAAAGTAAAAGAGAGAGAGAAAATTGAAACACACTGAATTGTGAACAAGAACACTTTTCTGTGTTAGTAAGCAGTACTCAAAGAGATGATATAAATTTTGAAAGCAGAAAATACATCAAGGCAGTATGTTTCAAAAGGCAAGTCAACCATTACTGAGTGAAAGATGGTTTCAACATAGAAATGCAGAGAAAAAGAGAAGGGCAGCACAACCCACAAGAAAATGACTGCTTGCAAAATCTAACCAATTGTAATCAGCAAAAGCGAAACGGCGTAAGAAAATATTGCTTACAACTCAACAGCAAACCCATATAGCTTGTGCCCACCTCCATACGCGGAAGTTTAATAAGATGAAGTAAATGCAATGCTATGATTTTGCCTAGGAATACATGAAATTCGTTGTAAACTCTCATGAATTCATCTTGCAGGAGTGGTTTTTTAGAGTATATAGGCTTGCCAGAATTGCTCGAAATGGTGAATTTTTTTCTCCTCCTCCATGAAGCTGAAGCTTCAACCAAGAACATCAAGAAACACACTAAAGGTGAGACGACTCTCGTAATAATGATGAGAAAACGACCTACACCAAAATCATGCACCCTTCTCCAATTTCTCTCGGCTACCACAGAACACCAAACATAGACATAGAAACATTGATCAAACATCATGTACACTGCATATGACTTATGACTTGAGACAAATATCATCTTTCAAGCATGTCATCACAATATCCTCTATTCCGCGGCCAGCTTATGTTCGCATGCGACTCTATATTGTCATAAATATCCTTTTCACCACCTCTTGGTGCCTCAACTCTCAGCTTCTCAACTCTTCCTATATATATAGTTTGGTCAATGTTTAATTCTCATCATGCTCCACCTTGCATAATGTTGCCATCTTAACCAAATGTGCTTATGAAATGATTATGTTGTTCTATATTTGCACAATAACTTATGCTAGTAGACAATTATTGTCAAACAAGGAATTTGTATGGTAATTGCTATGGATTACTGGATGATAAATGTTGGACACATAAACATAAACTACAGCCTCGCTTAGAAGAAGAGAAATGCTTGTTTCAGTATCAAGTGCGTCTGCATCACATCGATATGGATATCTATATTGAATGCATAAGCATAAACTATAGCCTCGCTTAGAAGGACAAAAATGCTAGTTTTTGTATCAAGCACGTCTGCATCACATCGATATGGGTATCTATATTGTATGCATAAACATAAACTATAGCCTCGCTTAGGAGAACAAAAATGCTAGTTTTAGTATCAGGCACGTCAGCATCACATCGATACGGATATCTATATTGTATGCATAAACATAAACTATAGCCTCGCTTAGGAGAAGAAAATGCCCGTTCTAGTATCAAGCACGTGTGTCACATCGATATGGATATCTATATTTTGGTCGCATCACCCGTTATCTTCCACAAAGACATTAGATGATTAATGCTACTGCTGATAAATATTTTTAAAGTGATGCTCGAAATATTTTCCAATAAATTCAACGTCACTGATTATTATATTAATTTTTCCGCTATAGGATTTTCTTTCAAGATGCACTTTCGTGAACACAAAATTGACATTAGCTTTGCTTCATTTTTTTTGCGGGATGACATTAGCTTGCTTCAAACTGGTCATCTTCACTCTTTGCTTTTTACCCCGCCCTTCAAACTGGTCATCTTCACTCTTTCGTGCGTCCTTGTCATGTCAGAGTCTTTTGTTTTTTACTCCACTCTTTGCTGGAAATCAAATAATATTGTAATGTTCAACGAATAATTTTCTTTTCAGTATTTAACTTCACCGTGTGCTTCAAAATATATGTATGTGTCATGTTGGTGTCTTTCTTTTCAAGTATCGGTAACCCCTCCACGGTCGTATGTGTTACTGTTATGTCTGTACTTGTGTCACTTGGTCACGACTAGAGAGATAGGCGCGCTTTGCCGCGCCCGATGATTACTGCGATGATCTATCGAACGTTATGGTCTATATAAGACAAACTGCAATTATACAACTAATTTTTACAGATGGCCTATCATACTGTATCAATTAAAATGGTTTCAATGTATACTATTTACAGATGTTCAATATGCTAGCGTACATGTATAAGAATACACTCCAGATGGCAAATGATTTCATCAAACAATACAACTTTATTGTCAACTCAGTGTTCAGTTTATATGAAAGAACAATGGCACCGGAAATCAATAAACATCCACTTTGTACATTGCTACCCCCTATATAAAGAAATATAAGAATGTTTAGATCACTACTTTACAGAGGAAGTACTTGTCATTGGATTAAAAAATATATAACAATACTTTCTTGACATGTACTCTGTGGATTCTTGTATGTAGTTCCAGCCTTCAAGGAGTCATTAAACATTTCTGGAGAATATGTTTAACTCAGCCTAATAGTACATTTCCTCTTCGAAGCCACAATACTGATGTCAAACTCTAACCATCCTTCGTGCAACCATACACATTTTAGGCCTCCTTTGGTTTAGAGGAGTTCCATAGGAATTCTAGAGGATAGGATTCTTATAGGATTTTTTCCTTTAGAGCCCTTTGGTTCATAGGAATGGATTCCTATTCCTACATAGGATTGGTTCCTATCCTCCACATTTCATAGGAAAAAAAAAGAGCCTAGACTCAATGGAAAAATTCCTATGAACCAAATCCTAGAAAAAATTCCTAGGAATCTTATAGGAAATGAGATGACATGTATCTCAAATCCTATGAGTAGGAATAGGAAACAAGATGTCATTTAGTTGACATCAAAGAAATTTTTCCGTTGAGTTTAGGCTCTTTTTTATTTTCCTATGAAATGTAGAGGATAGGAACCAATCCTATGTAGGAATAGGAATCCATTCCTATGAATCAAAGGGCTTTAAAGAAAAAAAATCCTATAAGAATCCTATCCTCTAGAATTTCTATGAAATTACCTATGTACAATAAAATAAGATGTTTTCCTCATTCAATTTGAAGAGCGACTCGTCAGTCGTCAGCGCCAGCTGAAAAGAAACGAGAATCGGAGACATCTCTACTACTTCGACACCTACGTACGTGTCCTTGTGTTCCACATGCACTCAGCACTTAAACGGCGGCGACGTGCGCAGTCTCTCAAAGAGATGTTGGTGGAGATGGCGCACTAACATCGTTGTGGTTGTTATGGGGTGACGAGCATCCGTCCAATTCATGCGCGTACGACGATAAGCCCTTCGCCTTCCGGGGAATTTCGCGGAAGCCACCGTCGTCGCCTCGGCCGCAAACCATGACCAGAAAGCGGCCTCAACGGCTTCGCCCGCGCCCTCCGTGGAAATCAACTATCTGAATTCTGGAGGAATCTTAGTGTAAATCGAAGGCAGCCTACGCGCAATCAGTCCGAGCCTCTCGACCTTGCGTGCAGCAGCCAGCTAGAGGCGTCCGCCCCGCCATGGCTTTGTGGACCGGTCTGAGCCAGGCGGCGCGGACGTGGGCGGGCTCATCTCCATGACCATGCAGGCCGCGCTGACGGCTCGGCAGAACAGGGCGGAGTGCGAGCAGCTGGCGCGCCGGGTCCTCATGATCGCGCAGCTGCTCCCGCACGTGCAGCTGGCCGACGACCCGGAGGCAGCGGCGTGGCCGCTGGCCGGGCTGGGCGACGCGCTCCGGGACGCCCACGAGCTCCTCGTGTCCTGCCAGGGCAGAAGCGCGGCGTACCAGTTCGTCATGGCCGGCAGGACGGCCGACCGGTTCAGGGAGGTTCAGGGCAGGATCGACTCCTACCTTATCCTCTTCCCCGTGATCAGCCACATCGGCATCACTCGCCGCCTCGAGAGGATCTACAACGTCCTCGTCCCGGACGGCGACTCCACCACCGGAGATGAACCGTCACGTCCACCTCCACCACGGCTGTCCCACATGCAGGTACGTACAACTTCTTGACAAGATGATACAAAAGTTGATATGTTTTGTGCTATAAGGAGGTACATATGTACTTTTTGAGAAAGGATGGATTTTGTTGACTCAAATGAAGCAGATATGTAGGGCATAATTTAGGTAGACATGCTTTCATATCAAACTCTTTCATTTTTTGGGACGATAATCCTCTATGCTAGACATGCTTTCATATTGAACTCTTTCTTTTTGGGGGATGATGATCCTCCTAGTTTTATTGTTATAGATGTGATAAACGATGTATTGTTATTTAAGAGGAAATAAAGTGCGCCAAGAAGGCTTACCCTAAAAAAACTCTTGTGGCCTCTTTTTCAGGAGTCTCCACGAGAGGTGGCTCGGGAGGTAGAGGTAGTACGACATAGAAACCAGGAATTCACGTTGGCGGAGATCATGGCTGCCACCAATGGCTTCGCCCATGACGCCGTGATCGGCTATGGCGGCGGTGGAAGAGTGTACAGGGGCAGGCTTCATGATGGTCGAGAGGTGGCCGTCAAGCGCGTGAATAGCCTGCAATCAGACAACATACAGCCGGAGCTTGACATCCTGTCACGGCTCCGACACAAACACATCGTCCGCCTCCTTGGATCGTGTGTGACTGCGGCCACGGACAAGAGAAAAAAGCGCCTGCTGACCACCAAGCGAACAAAGGAACCTGAAGAGGAGCCGGACGGGTTCATCGTCTACGAGTACATGGAGAATGGCACGCTCTACGACCACCTGCACCGTAACCACTGCTCCTCCACACCATCACCAGTGAGGGTGTGCTGGAAGATGCGCATAGAGGTGCTCCTCTCTGTGTCGCGTGCCATCAAGCACCTGCACTGTCATGCCGAAGTGTCGATCATCCACCGTGACATCGAGTCAAGTAACATCCTTTTTGACGCCGGTTGGGTGCCACATGTGTCGGACTTTGGCTCATCGCTAACCTGGCACGTGGCGAGCATGAAGGACTCGGGGTTGGAGTGCCCTGTTATGGGCACATTTGGGTACATCGGCCCTGAGTACTGCCTTAGAGGCCGCGTGAAACCGGCGAGCGACGTGTACAGCCTGGGCGTGCTGATGCTCGAGGTTTTGACAGGGAAACGAGCATTTCTCCAAGGGGGGTTGAAGATAAAGGAAGATCTAGCATGTTTCGCATCTCCCATCATCGAGGCTGGTAATATTATAGAGTTGTTGGACAAGCGACTTGTACCGGTGCCAACACCATTGCAGTTGCAGGCACTGAAGCGTGTGGCGCAAATTGCACGATGTTGTGTCAAATGGGTTGGGAGGGCTCGGCCGGCCATATCGGACATCGTTGCAAACCTCGAGATGGTGCACAAGTTAGTCTGCAGAGACGAGCCATGTTTAGTTGAAGAGTCATTTGTGTGGCCTTTTCTTGAAGAAGTCGACGAGGCGCCACATGCCAAGAGTGTGCCATCAGCAGGCTACCAGCCCAATCTGGTACACCAGAAACAGATTGAACTCTGTTCACATTAACCAATTGAATCATGGGAATACACGGATGAGGCGAGAATTGATTTTCTGTTTAAATACATTACATGATGTTTTTCCATACTTTTTTGCATTCGGTTCTAGCTATTTCCGCACCCCCATAATCGACGAGAACAACAAATACATATCACCTTTACCCTTTATGGGATTATTAATGGAATGTCTTTTTTAATGTTCCTCGGATACAAAGATATGTTTGTAGCAATCCGAGAAGCAGCACGTGGGAACAAAATGAAAATAATAGCACAACACGCTGGAGTCATTTGATGTGGGCCGACCAAATCCGATTTTCTAGAGTTTCTCTTGGTCCGGAAACAACACTAAAAACTCAACGTATTTGGTTTAAAATGACAATAGCTTGCACGCATGCAGATATGTATCATCATCATCATCATCATTGATACATTCTCCCCTCCTGATCTAGATCTCTCTCTTTCTCTTCGCCTCCGCCTCCCCTTCCCTCTGACTCCCCCCCCCCCTCCCCGGTCACGCAGCGATGCGACTTCCTCTATCATTGGTTGTCTTCATCTCGATCCAAAAGGATCTGGTCGGTGGGTGTTGCCTTGTGGTGGCTTCCAAGCAACAGATCAAGTGGAGGAGGAGATGATGGCCTAGCTGCTGAAGTACGTGAGGATGCCGCCATCGTTGGCGACGCCCGTGGGTGTCGTTTTCCATGTTGGAGGCGATGGTGGGGGCATCCCTCGCTCCATAGTTTCCGGGTAAAACCTCAGATCCGAGTCCACATGGGTCGGAGGATACCCTCCAAACACAGCTCCCTCGTTCCAGCGCCTCCGCCCACACTGAAAGGGACCTCCTAATCCACGCATGGGTCGGAGGATACCCTCCAAACACGGCTCCCTCATTCCAGCGCCTCGTCCACACTAAAAGGATACCGTCCAAATGCACACACCCTGCACGGTTTGAGCTAACCCATTGTGGGGCGTGGGAACCTTTTTTTTACGTTTTTTATTTTTCATTTCCTTTTTTCTCTGTTTTTAGTATTTATTTTTATGAAAACCGAAATTTTTCCAGGTTTTAAAAAATGTTCAAACATTAAAAAATGTCCGTGAATTAAAAGAAATCGAAATTTGCAAAACTGTTAATGAATTCAAAAAATGTTGGCGAAATAAAAATTATTCTCATATTTATAAAAAAGTTAAACAAATTTAATACCTATTTCTATATTTTACAAAAGTTCACGGAATTACAAAAATAAAAAAATAAAAAATAAAAAAGAAGAAAACCGAGAAAAGCCGATAGACAAAACACAGAAAAAAACGAAAAAAGAAACGGTTCAGGAAACCGATGGGAGGGAACACAGAGTGAGAAAAATACTACAGAGCTGACAAAATGGGCCGGCCGACTACCACGGGCAAGGGTGCGCATTTGGTCGCTATCCCCCGATCCGCGCGCGGAATAGGAGGCTCCAGACTGAACGCCATCAGCACCGGCCCCCACACCCCTGCGGCCCTGCCCCAGCCCCGACACCGTCCGTCCCCCCGCCCGACGCCACCCCAGATCCTCGGGGCCCTTCGCTCCGAGCCTCCGACGCCACCGACCAGCCCCACCCCAGCGCCCCCTGTCTTCCCCTGCATACCAAGGTAATATTTTCTCTGGAATGGGAAAACTCAGAGTACGGATTCGTTCCTCGCCTCCTTGATGCGGCGAGCTACCCCGCCAGCAACGGTTATACGCAAAAGCTTGCATTTGGATACGAATTGTCGGATACGACACTACACTATATACAGTCAGTGAGCGCATGCCAGCTAGAATGAAAGTAACCCACTTATCACATATAGCTGGACCCCCTAGTGGCGTGCTCAAACTAAGAAACGGTAGTCAAGCACAGATCCGGGACCCTCCCGACGTCCTCTCTCCATCCATCCCGAAGCCCGGCGCTGTCTTCGCCAGCCCTCTCCCCGCGGAGGAGTTCGAGTCCGGCCCTCCCCCTCTTCTTGTCCCGCTCCCGTGCGGCCGCGCCGGGCCGCACCGGGGCGCCCCTGTGGGCTCGAGCAGGTCCCCCTGCGCCTCCCTCTCCTCTCGCCGCCGCCGGAGGCGTCGCCGGGCAAAGCCTTGGCGGTGCGGCGGCGGCGGGACCCCTCGGTCGCCGTTCTCGACAGCGGGGGCGGCGCTGCTCCGCTGCTCCAGGCGGTGATGCTGCTCGGCTCGGCCGGACTTGGTGCTCTGTCGGGTGCTGCTCGACGGGCTCGCTCCGGCGCGGGCTGGCGCGACTCCGGTGGTGGGTGGGCGCGGCCAAGCGCGGACCTGGTGTGGCGCCACGGTCCCCGCGGGATGGTGGTGCTCGGCCCGGCGGCGTCTTGGTGGTGCTCCGGCAGCTCCTGGTGCTGTGGATCCGGCGGATGGCGGGGGGCGGCAGCTCCGGGCGTGCGTGGCTGGCTCTGGCCGGCCCTGGGTTCTCCGGATCTGGCTGCTTCGTTGCGGCGACAGGCTGTTTGTTGGTCCGGCCGGGCTTGGGCTCGGCACACGGTGTGGCAGCGCCGGGCGAAAGCTCTGCCTCAGGCTTCTGGCCGGGGCCGGCGACGGCGACGCACTCGGGTGCCGCGCTCTTCTTGAAGACGTCGTCGAGGTGTGTTGTCTGCCCTGCTCGTGTCTTCGGTCGGTGAGACCAGTGGTGTGGTGGTGGCTTCTGCTTGGTCATGGCGCGATGGCTTCGTGGGAGGTGTGCGGGTCAGCAGAGGTGCAGTGCGTGAGGATGTGGTGTTGGGCGGTGCTCCGGGCGAAGGCTTGCCAGGTTTCTCCGGCCGACGGCGTCGGCGTCCGCGGATGTCGTGTCACCTCCTTGGAGGCGCCGCCGTGGAGTCCACCCCCTGCACATCCTCGGTTCCAACTCTTTGGGTGAAAGCCTAAGGCCCAGTCGGGTCGGGCGACGGCGTCGGCATCGTCGCTTCCTCCTTTGGGGCGTCGCCTTGAAGAGCATTGGATCCCGTTTGCACTTTCCTTGGGCTGGACGCTCGCGGCATTGCGGTCGGCGGCTGTCTACCCGGCAATGTGGATGTTGCGCGACTTCTAGTGTGGCAACGATGGCGGCTTCGACCGAAGTTGGGCGGCTGCTGAGCTTTGGTAGTCGGTCTTATCTGGCGTGTTCGAGGGGTTGTCGGGCCTCATTTGTCTTCCTGAAGTCGGAGCTGCAGAGGAGGTGCTTCCGCGGCGACGATGACACGAGACGGGTGATCGGCTCCGGTGCCGGCTCGACGCAGGCCCAGCGCTTTCCCCCTACAATGCTCGTAGACAGAGTCGGAGCTGCCTGGTCGTCGGCGTGTGCGGTGGACTGTTTGGCATCGACCGACGCAGGCCTCGACGCTTGTTCGTGGCTTTCTCTTCGACGGCGTGTGTGCGTTCTTGTGTGGGTTGTCAGGTCGCCGTGTGTGCCTTGTTTTTGCGGGCATGTTGACAGTATTCTCCCGGTTTTCCGTTAATTAACTGAGCATTTCTCTTCGACCTTTTTTAATGAATCGGGCCCTAAGAGACCGCGTTTAAAAAAAACTAAGAAACGGTCTTAACTCTTAAGTAGGTCTTGAGTGAGGATTTAAGAATTCTTGCAAGACATGATTGACCAGCCTACAGTGTAGAAAAGAAAAACTGACTCGGCCCTGCAGTAAAATTGGTGTACAGTCTTGCAGAAGTTGGTATAAGTTTCCATCTGAACATTATTTATTAGTTGTCTCTCCAATCAGAAAAGTTTAGGGGACTACACGACGGGCCAAAAGTTCAACACATGACTGCATCCACAAAAGTATAGTCACAAAAGTTTAACACATAGCCTCATCCACAAAAGGATATCAAATAGGAGGCATCCAGAAAAGAAACCTTTATTGGCATCCTTTTATTTAATAATTTGGTTGCATGCATGCATCATTGATGTCTCGACTAGTTCTTGACATTCTGTCGTTAGAAAGGCCGGGTGCACTTGTTATCATCTACATAATAATATATTGAGCTTTATTTGAAAAGAAAAAAAAAGGACAATGCGTGCCCAACTTTAAGACAGAAAATAAAATGGCCTAAAAGCCGGTTTGTGTATTATCCTTAGCTTGCCTTGCGCCGCACGGTATCCTTTTCTGCGTTTCCACTTCTTCTTCGCAGCAACCATATGATCTCGAGGTAGATCATTTTCTATTCTGTACTCCATCACAATACAATCAAAGCATGACATAGAGTTTTACCTCTTCGAGAGAGTCCGAACCTGGGTAACATCGTCTCCTATTATCATTGTTCATAGACCTACAGCTCGGAACCGCCTACCGAGATCAGCCGGTTTTAGTACCGACAAGTCCTGACGCCAGATATTGGCATCCTTTTATTTAATAATTTGGTTGCGTGCATGCATCATTGATGTCTCGACTAGTTCTTGACCTTTTGTCGTTACAAAGGCCGGGTGCACTTGTTATCCATCTTGATAATAATATATTGAGCTTTATTTGAAAATAAAAAAAGGACAAAGTGTGCCCAATTTTAAGACAGAAAATAAAATGTCCTTTGTGTATTATCCTTAACTTGCCTTGCGCCGCACAGTATCCTTTGTTGCGATACCACTTCTTCTCTTGCAGCCTATCCTAGGATCCAGGCTCTGAATTGTGCTTCAAGAAAGGAGTGCTAGCCGGGGCACAACACCTATATAAAGGCACGCGTCTGGCCAATGTTGGATCACGGTGACATTGTCGTGGTCTTGTGGACACACACAC